GAACGATGACCTGTGATAGCCCTTCCTCGAGTGACGCTCGGACGTGACGGGTCATACCCACCCCCACTCCGCCGGGTACAAAGGCGACGTGAGAACATGGTTGCTGTATCCGTGGGATGTGACGGTGTCAGGCCGGTCACACACCGGTCACATCCGTTGGACAGAGGTTAGCTAGGCGCGCCGCACGTCTGCCCTTAACGCATTAAATGCGGTGAGGGACAGTTGGGGCGTCGCACATTTATGGCTGTTCAGCCTGTGCTCCCGCTCTTTCCCTTCGCCGTGTGGCTGCCGGGTGAGGGCCTCGGGACGAAGCCGCGGGATAGCCCGAGGGGATGACGCCATGCCCCGAGCCCCCCCAACCCTCGCGGCTTCCACGACTCGCGTGACGCGCGAATGGGGCTAACTTGCAGAGTCACGTGGCCGGAGGGAAAGTAATTCCCCTCTACTTCACATACCCCCGGGTCCATATCTCCGACAGAGGCCATCGTCCAGAGACCATCCCATCCTAGGTTGCTATATTCTAGGATGGAGGTAGTAGTTAATACGAATCTGAGTAGGGAGCCTGTCCAGATTTAGGGTCTGTTCAAATTGGTGCCAAAATGAACCTTATCAAAATTTGACAAAATTTCATACACATTGTCAAAAAAAATGGTAGGATTGGCGTAATAATGTTATCAAAATTCTATACACATTGCCAATATTTGATAACAAACTAAATGCATCCACAAATTGTCAATTTTACCGAATAATAGTACGGTTGAAAATGTCATCAATCTGAACATGCCCTTATAGTACTAGAAAATGTCTCATTCATCCAAAATCCCTTATATTTTGGAATGGCGGGAGTAGTATTTCTCTCAGAGAAGAATATAAATGTCTTACTATAAGATATTTTTGATTGCTTAGTTTTTCTTGGTTAATTAGTTGTAGTTCAACCAATAAGACACTTTACCTCTTAGCGGTTCGAAACCCGAGGTTGAAAAATAAAAATTAGACAAAAAAAACTCTAAATTAATTATAAAACCAAGTTCTAAAATTCACAATAAAATTGATGTAGCTGAAACAAGCCGCATTGGATGTCGATCATCCAAGCAAATAAGGATACAAATCACAATACAAACAACCACAAGGTTTGGAATGCAAATACATGCCTACTATGGTCCCATGCATAGTTAATTTTCACGTTAAGTGGGTGGACACATTAATTACCGTTTAATAATTTTCCTAAAGTAGAGGGATCCTGAAGTGGAACAACAAAGGTAAAAAAGAAAAGATTCCAATAACTAGGCCACCTCGACATCGACTCGCAGCAGCGCAGACACGCTCATGTGCAGCACAGCACGAAGCACATCCGCCGTCCGTTCCCGCTAAGATCAAGAAACGGACGGCTCTCGTGCGACGGCGGGTCAGGGGACCCGGCGAGAGTGATGGTTTTGGGCGTGAGCCGCTGGACCTTTTCGGAGGTGGCAGTTTGTACGCAAAGCACACATCACTCCGAGTACACATACACTCCCCTGCATTAGTGCTCCCTTTCGTCTTATTTTAAGTGCAGTGGTGGGTTTCTATGTCCAATATTGAACCGTCCGTTTTATTTAAAAAAAAATTGTGATTAGTATTTTTATGGTTATTAGATGATAAAAATATCAATAGTACTTTATGCATGATTTTTTTTATTTTTTTACAAATTTTTTAAATAAGATGAATAGTTAAATGTTACCCATAACTATATTTAAAATGGGACGGAAGTAGCAGAACGGAATAGTAGATACATATATCCAGCTAGATTTCCCAGATAATAGAAGAGTAGTACATCTACGTCCTCTAGCATATAAAGAGGCACACAAGCAACAAAATACTCCAGCCAGATGGAAAAAAAATTACACCACACGTACTTAATTAGCTAGTACTAGTACTGTCTAAGTTGATGGGTCAAACTATCTTTTCAATAGCATTTTAGGGGTATGACAACTCAAGAAAATGTGAAGGCCTTAAAACAGGCGCACAATCAAAAACGTCATAGACTTGATCTATTTTTGCAGGTTTGCAAGATCAAGAGGAAAGCAAATAGGATTGCTCATGCTTTAGCTCAAATGGCTATGAGGTCTAGATTATGTGAGGAGTGGAAGCTGTATGCTCCTGTAGGAATCTCAGGCTTGATAAATCAAAGAATGTAATCCTCTTTTTCGTAATCAACAAAATTCCCTCTTTGAAGGTAAAAAAACGTCATAGACTTCTTTAAAAATAAACACAAATACAACTTCTTGTGTTATCATACGGTTTCAACTATTAGAGAACGATCGGTATCGGGCCACTTATTTGTGGGAATTACTCACGCCTTAGATTAAACGCCCTACTTTAATTTATTTGAACCATACCTATTAATATTACTAATTAGAAAAAATTGGAACCATGCCATTATAATTTTGCAAAATTTCAAATTGTAGTCAACAAACGAACTCAGCCTTACTATACACAAAAGATTGGTGAGCGAGATTTTCCTTTTTTTGCCACATTTCCTCTAGAATAGTTTGGATTTTTACTGATACTGATTACTCAATCATGCAGATGTGGATGCAGACTATAAACAGTGTCATTACAATCCGACGAGCATGATTTTTGTCGCCATACAAAACGAGCGACTCTCAAACCAGACCCTATCGCTCCAACGCAACATCATCATGGAGCCTGTTTAACTTAGACGCTGGGTCGAAAAATGCGACCAGGACGTATGAAAACTCTACAATTTTTTATCTTTAAACATGTGCACAGTCATAGATCATTATACTTCAAAGAAACTATTCCCTCTGTTCCATATTAAACACGGTTATGGTTTCAGTGCCAATGTTTGATTCAAATGAAATAGGGTACATGTTTTATCTTTTATACTGTATAGGTTATCATTATTAAGTTATGCGAGGAGCCCAGCCATCTAACAACTTTCTCAGATTAGTAACCACATAGAGATACTGAGTAAGAGTAAGGGGCCTCATCGGTCATCCAAAAGCGGGTTATAAGCCATAACGGTTTATTAACAGAAAAATATGTGTAAAACTTTTATACAAGTGTTTTTGACGACTTAAAAACTAATGTTGAAAAAAACTGCATTAAAAATATATATCAAAACCAACTTCAAAATTAAAATTCAAAATTCAAATTTAATTTAGCTTATTAATTCTCTTAAGGACAACCGGTAGGGCTATAAGATTTTTTTCCCATCACATTTTGCCTAGAACACCGTAGACACATAGTAGCATCATCTGAACTGGTAGTGTACTACTCCCTCCGTCTCATAATATAAGAGATTTTGAGTTTTTGTTTGTACTGTTTGACCACTCGTCTTATTCAAAAAATTTATGTAAATATAAAAAATAAAAAATTGTGCTTAAAGTACTTTGGATAATAAAGTAAGTCAAAAATAATAATAATTTCAAAATTTTTTAATAAGATGAGTGGTCAAACAGTACACATAAAAACTCAAAATCCATTATATTATGGAACTGAGAGAGTAGTAGTAGTACTATCTCAAATCTCCTCAATCATGCAGACCTGGCGCAGGCCGTAGACAGACAGAGACAGTATCATCATTACGATCTGATGAGCACGTTTTTGTCATCACACGAGAAAAATTGACACTCTCAAACCAGCCGCGCTCTCCGACTCCACGTCGTCGGAGCCTGGCCGAAACAGGCCAAGCGCGAATACAGTTTTGGGCGGAAAACCCGTGGCGACGCCGCCTCACTACGCGTGGACCGCCGTAAAGCGGACACGCCGACGACGAGGAGGTCGCGCGGTGGTAACCGTGCGCGCGAGGCGGGCATCACGCGCGGATGCACGCGGTGCGTGTGGAAACTGGAAAAGCGTTTTTGTTTTGGAATCTAGAGGCGCGGGCTGCGCGGATCGATGGATGGATGTGGCGACCAGGGTACATTATTAATAAAATTTGATCGGTTCTCGATAAATTGTGACTAAATATACTGTTTAACCTTCGAAATTCCAATCGAAACTTAATTCCGAGCCGTGTCAAAACGTCGAAATTTCGTGGAATTTGACCGGTTTTGATCGGAATTGTGAATCCTGGTGGCGACGGCAGCGTGCAGACACAAAGAAAGACGGTGGCGCTCGATGCTGCATGGTGTGGTCCAAGGAGAAAAGAGGACAGTGGACAGTAGTGTACTGTGGGGGTCTGTGGCCTGAGACAAGCTGCAGAGAAAAAGAAAAAAGGGAGTGACTGTAGTACTGGACTGTGGTGACTTCTACTGCTGTCGGGGAGTAGACAGGCCGGTAAACAAACAGCCAATGGAGACAGAGGTAGTTGGAATGGCAGGTGTGAGAAGATAAAGAGTAGGGTAACCAGTAACCTCCATTTAGCATCAGAAATGCCTCATGGGCTCATGGCCCAGAGAGCCTGTGGAGGATCAACGGTTGGCTACCAAACACACCGATCAGGGTGGCATCACTACTCCCTCCGTTCTAAAATATAAGGCACAACCACCCTTAATCCAAAAATCAAGAAATAATTATTATCACCTCCTAATTTGTATCACCCTAATAAATAAAATACATGTACTCAATAGAATTAGAGATCTTAAGGGTGGAGGATTTAAAAAAAAATCATAATTTAATGGAAAAGAGGTACTAATTAATTGCATGCATGCATACACGTCTTATATTATGGAACATCTGAAAAAAAAGTAGTTGTGCCTTATATTATGGAACGGAGATCACCACCACTGGTTTGTTGTTGCCGTCATTAATCATCACCACGGTAACAATATTTTGGAACGGAGGGACCAACCGTGAATCCATAGCCTTCACTTTAGGTACAAGATGGCCATTATGTCATGTCCGAGCTTCAGAAAGCAACATAATCTTCACTCTAGGTACAAGATGGCCATTATGTCATGTCCGACCTTCAGAAAGCATGCTGCCAAATTTCAGTCCATTCCAACATGTTATCACCAGACAAACATGGACCATTCGAGTCGATGTAAAAAATCTCATGCTCGCAATCACAATCAAGATCTATTGTAGGTGATAGTGCCGTCGAATAGAAAACATGTGCATAAATATGTTACCATAGTTAAAGTACACAGTACACAGCATGGTTGTTCTTGTTCAGAGTAAACTACAGCGGTAAATACATTAGGGAGAGACACGGTGGTGGTCATAAAACAACTGCACAAGATCATACACTCGCTGCACCATCCTGTCCATCCATCTAGTAACCATATCCAGTCCTCCTCATCATCCTAATGAACTCATCAAAATCTATCTCACCATCACCTGAAGACAGAACAGGAATGAAATTAAATAGCTTGCTACTTCAGTTGGACAAATAGCACAAAAAAAATAAGTTCTTTCAAGCTCCAAGAAACAGCTAACCATTTCGATCTGCCTCTTGCACCATTTCTTGAATCTCTTGATAAGTGAAGTTTTCACCTAATTCCTTGGCAATTCGCTGAATATCAACATCTGATATCTTCCCCTGCATGAGTTATGATAATACTCTTCAGAACGATACTTTGTCAGATCATGGCAGCGTTATAAATACAAGCATGTCCTTTCATATAGCGAACCCCATTACAAACTTAGAGAATATATATTAAGTAAAACTTCAATGTCTAGAACTAAGAAAAAATGTGCATGATGCTGATCTAATATAATTATAAATAAGAGAGCACTTGGTTGATTGTCTACTAATACAAAACTGACCTTTTCACAATATAAAAAAGTTTTGGTCAATCAATTGATATTCTAGCACAATAACAACTTAACAAGAAAAGAGATGCTGTACTAAAGGGTGAAAAGAGAGAAAAACTTTACATTTTTATCTTGGTCGATAATACTGAATGCTTTCGTAAGTTCTTCTTTACTGTCTCTCTCTCCAATCTTAGCAGTCATCATATGCTCAAACTCCTCATAATCTATGGATCCACTACCATCTTTGTCCACATCAGCAATCATCTGGTTAATTTGCTGCATTACCCAGAAAGAAAGAGGCTGATCAGTAAGAAGGATTTCCTCCATATATGGTCATGGGCACAAATTACTATAACTATACAGGTAAAGAGCAACCGCCATACACTACACTAGTACACTGCAGATCACGTAGGGGGGAATCAGAAAATACAAAAGAAGAAGAAGAAGAAGAAGAAGAAGAAGAAGAAGGCATTAGTAAGTGGAGAAAGAGGAAATATACTTCTTCTGTCATCTCAAATCCCAAGGCTCTGTAAATAAAAGCAACAATTTCAGAGGCATCATCACCATTAACAAACTGAAGAAAACAGGGTAGAAATAACAATGCCGATGAATTTCCTACCTCATGGCAACATTCAACTCTTTGGCATCAATGGTTCCTGGGAGATAAGCATGATTAGGACAACATATGATCAGCGTGAGTATTGTAACAGAAATAAGCAAAAACACAACCAAACAAATGCAGTACCAGAGTTATCTGTGTCGAACAGATCAAACGCCTCCTTTATTTCCTGCCTCTTCTGCTTCGTCAATCCATGAGGGCGAGCTCCTCTAGGCCTCTCCCTCCTGGTCTGTCCCTTGACAGTAGACTACAAACCCACATTGAGTTAGCAAATCAGCGCTGGGCGATCATTAGTTTGAAATAATCAGGAATCTACAATTTCTTGTTATGAATCATCCCAGTAAAATAGGATATCAGCTAGGAAAAATGATCACGCACGACCCTAAAAAATCACTGTGTTACATAACCACTGAATCTACAGAGATAATTAGCACATCATTTCAAACAGCAAAATGTCGCCTAATGGGTACGTCGAATTCCATCGCTGGATCCTCTCACCCTAACAAAGCCCACAAAATTTCACCGCCCTAACCACCATATCCACCCGATGCCGCGACAGATCTACCTAAGCTAGGGCTTCCACCTCACCCCCACGCCCCGTCTCCGAGTTCGAGCTCCAATCCCTAACCCTCACCGCCCCCACGGAACGAAAGCGCAGGGATTCACCTTCTCCCCCGTGGTCTCCATCTCCCCCAAAGAGGCCAGAGACGAACCCTACGTCGACGGATCCTGGAACCAGAAAAGGAAAAACGCGCTCTCGCGCAGGGAGACGGAGAGGGACGGAGTGAGATGTACCATGTTGGAGAGATCCGGGGTCGCGGGAGACCGGCGGGATGGTTGCGCGCGTCGCCGATCTCGTCGGCTTCTCCTCCGGCGGCGGCGCCGGCGACGAGCGGGGGAGCGGTGGCGTTGCAGAGCGCGTGGAAGAAAACAACGGCAGAGAGAGCTGTGTGGCCGTGTCCTATGCGCTTCCTTGTTAAAAAAAAAAGATAAATAAAATTAGGCTGGGCCGGGATGGGCCGGCCGGGCCGGATACAGAAAAGAATATAGGCCTCCCTTCGCTTGGCAAAGGAATTTCGAATTTTTTTTTTTGGGGTAGGAATTAAACTACTCCCCATCAAACTTCTGAAATTTCATTGACTGATTTTATAATAGAATAGTAAAATTATAAAGTCTAATAAGTCTATGATGTTATGGTAGCATTTTTCAAGGCGAATCTTGTATATGTTTGTTTTGTTTTAAAACTAGTCATCTAAGAAATTAAAGATGATCAGAATTAGGGTGTGTTCGCCATGAGGTGTTCCCAACCAGAATAAACACGGAAAACGGAGCGGTCCATTAGCGTGTGAATAATTAAGTATTAGCTATTTTTTCAAAAAAAGATTAATTTAATTTTTGAAGCAACTTTCGTATAGAAACTTTTTGTAAAAAACACACCGTTAGCAGTTTGAAAAGCATGCGCGCGGAAAACGAGGGAAAGGGGATGGGAAGGGTGTGCCAAACATAGCCTTAGAGCAAGTTTAATAGTATAGCCAACTATTAGCTCCAATCATTTATAGCAAATGTAATAGCCAATTTATGCAATAGTTGCTTACTATACTATTAATACCTGGTTCTACCTGTCATACACACAGTATGTTTTGGAGTCCGTGCTGCAACTGGCTACAGATATGTAGCCCGCTGCTCTTCTCTTTCTTCCTTTATCTCTTTAAAATATATTTATAGCTGGCTTATAGCCTGCTATTGTACCTGCTCTTACAAAGGTTTGATCATCTTGCTTTAAACGAGATATACTCTTTTTTTTTAAGGTTAACGAGACATACTTTTGACAAAAGGTTGGGGGGGGGGGGGGGGTAAATTATGTGAAATTTCTGGGTTTCAAAGGATCCTTCAACCACAGGCAGGACGCAGCTTACACAAATACACAGCAATCCAATGGAGCATACCGTCACCGAGAATTTCATTTCTGACCCGTGACAAATTCGGGTCTGTTTTGGAAAGCTTCTGACGACTACAACTTTTTCTATAATCTTTAGATGTTAGAAGCTCCCCCAAACAGTTGAAATTTTCATCCAGATTCTAAAAATATGTGGTTGTACAATTTAGATAATAGTAAGTCAAGAGCCCAAAAAACCCAATTTTTTCATATTCTCACCAGTTGATTCTCATAATAAAGCTCTCCTAAACAGGGCCTTAGATACGGTTCTCAAGCAATTGCAAAAACCATGCAAACCTCCTGGCAATCACGGTCGCACATCTTTCTGAACTCTGAAGCTAAGTCACACTTTCACAGTCGGGTGCACCAAACAAGCTGGTTTATGCTGGTTGCACTCCACACCAAACAAAACTTTTCTAGACCCAAACAGAACACTTTGGTTCCCTACTAACCATTATCAAGAGCTGGAAAAGCTACACTCTAAAAAAACACTTTATCTTACAAAGTGGATAGTTTTAAGTCTAACCAACCTTACAAGCTTGCACTAAGTGAATTCTCCTCTACGATCTAGATGTCATGGTGATTTAAAGTTACTGAGTGTTGTTAGTCAGGCTTGAAGAACACTTCGTGGATGGGCATTATCCTTGTGGCTCGTGACCTTTAGCATCCGCTTCCATTGAGTTGTCATGGATATCTGCATCCTTTTCTCTTGCTTCCTGTAACTCTGCCTTCACAAATGGAACCACCTACGAGGCCATGCAATGTCAAAAGGTTAGAAACGAAGTCACAAAGTATGAAGAAAACATAACACAATTAAGGGGTGTTTGGATAAGGGGATCCGAGAAAGTTTAGTATTTAGTTCAAATTGTAGCTAAACCCAAAAAATTTCAAGAAACTACCCTTATCCATACAGGCCCTCAAAGGTACCCTTCATTACTTGATCGTCCATCGTATTAGCAGTAGACTTCAGTCGCTTTTTGCTGCATCGTCCATTTGGTTCTCCACTTCCTTTTGTCTCCTCATCAATGAAGTTTTGATCTGAACCCTCTACGGAAATGCATGAGTAGTTCTCTTGTAAAAATCTGGCCATGTCACTCATGTAAATGAAACAGACTAACTTTTGGCACTCATAATCTATTACAGAAAATTAAAAAACATGACGCTCTTTTGATGAACAATTCCCGTAGGTGTGCTGTAATGTACTATGAGACAGGTACGGAGGGCATGCAAACAAAAGATGTGCATTCAATAAAGAACCTTTCCCCGTTCATTGTTTTAAATGATACAAATCAGACAAACATGCCATTTCTCCACAGGGAAACACATATTTGATGAAATTGGAACTGCTGCTTTTGTGAAAAATTTAATGGACATTTTTGCTACACTTTTTGAAAAAAAAAAGGAAACTGACATCCTGTAGATATCACCTACCTGCACTCCTAGAAGGGGAATGTCTGTTCTTGCCTAAATGGCACGTGGAAGATTGTCCAGAGCTTGTTGCCCTTGCATAGCACTCTTGAATCAGCCTGGTACTTGATGCATTATCATCTGAAAAACACACTTTTACGTCATCTTGATTTTCAGAAGGTGATCTGACATGTTCAATCTTTATCCAAGATTCAGCTCTGTCAACTTCATCTACATCCATATGTTCCTGCCATATCATTTGAATTTAAGAGGTTAATTTGATTGTTACAACTAGACACTTCATTGCATGCGAAGAAACGAGGAAACATGCATTTGCCTCTACCTGCTCAGCCTCCACATTTTTAACATGTCCCTTCGATGATAGTTCATGTATACAAGCACCTGGAGAGTGATTAAACAGTTCCTTGAAACTGTATTTACTGTCATGTAATTGGCTTACAAATGATTCTTCCAATAAACTAAGATAGAGCATGTGTTTTTCATTTGTCCATCCAACAGAAGTGCATACCACCAGAACATCCTGGCAAGTGAAAGAAATAACTTCATGAATCGTCATAGGAACTCCATATAAATTAATAATGCAAACATTATCTTAAAAAAATAATGCAAACACCATCCAAATTCCAAAATCAGAGGTTTGTTCATTTATAGATGGTTGAAGAACAAGATATGATTCACTCAATTAAGCATACATTCAGAACGAATTATGACATTAGAAGATGCACCAAAATAATCAGCCATCAGTGGTAGAACGAATAACCTAAGGAAGATGAATTATAATTCAGATTTTTCTTATTCATTGACTGGAAAGAACAAAAAGCTTTCAGCACATCAAGATTACATTATATTGTATACTCAATCATGGAAGAGAAATACTCCTAATTCCATATCATATAAACCTTCTAAAGAAAGATTCTTAGGAGAAATGCTCCAACTGGTCATTCCGCTTAACTAAGAAAACATCATGCTTAAGTTCCATGACCAAAATCCAAAATGAATCATCTGGAGCAACAAGTTAACTTTGATGCTCAAGCATTGACCTGTACCGCCGTGTTCTACACAAGCTCGCTGCTGTCAGGCACTCCTTTTTTCCCCTTGCATCCACAGATCGTTATATGCTTTACAGCCTTCCGTTGCACAATCGGCCCACCCTCAAATTCCACCTTTCTCACATTCTTCTGTCCAATTTCTTCATTTCTCGCAGACGATAAAAAAAAGAATGACGAAATGACCATCTATATTAGCATCTAGCGCAGGGCTGGTCCTGCACGTCTGGAGGCCCAGGGCGAGACAAAAATCTAAGGCCTTATATAATGTACAATAATTTTCTTGAAACTGTAAATATACCTTTGTTTGACTTGTGGATCATGAAACACAACCTACTACATGCTGACTTACGGATTGATACTGTAAAAAAAATGAATAATAGGGAGCAAAATCACTTGGTTCTTGCTGATCTTGTATAAACAGAAATACCATAAATTAAAGAACTCATGGAAGCCGTGAGAGAGCTAGATATTGCTGACTAGCTAGAGAAATTAATTGCCGTGAGAGAGCTCTTGCCTTGAACAATTCGCAGGGATTCAATTCTAGCGCAGCAGCTCCTTCTAGTTCTAACTCAAATTCAAAAGCTACCCTACCAGAAAAATCACCTAGCTCATTCACACCACCAAAACTAACAGCTTAAATCGCCCTCCACCCACATCACAAAAACAAACACAAAAATCTCGCGCAAAAAGGGAGAAAAAAAGGGGCATGAAGAAGAGAGAGAGAAAAAATTACCGGCAGATGCACTAGCTCCCGTAGATCCGCCACCGCCAACCCCTCCTCCATCATCTCCCCTCCAAGTCCCCCACCACAAACACAACAAATTCACCTGCAACCAAAAAAAAAAATCGCCCCCAACACCAACCGCATCAGCATCCCGCGCAAACACACGAACACACAACGAGAGGCGGCAGCACTCTATACCTGAGACGAGAGAGATAGGCCGAGGAAGAGAAGCCGCAAACCCTAGCTCCGCCGCCTCGTCGTCGAAATGGAATGCGCGTGGCGGTCGTGCCCGGCGGCGACGGGGAAGAGGAAGGGGAGCTCTTTTATCCGCCGTGGCGTCGCTTTTCCACGTGGCCACGGTGGACGACGCTTGGGGCGAGTAAAAATTATCTCTCTCGGAGGACAGTGGCGTGCGGCGTTGCGGGATCCTCTCTGCACACCTAGCCTGTGGTTTTTCGGGGGTGTTTTAAGATCGGGGTGTAAAGTGTGGCGTATCACATCGGGTGTATTATATAGCGTGTCACATGGAGTGTTCGGACACTAATAAAAAAACTAATTACAGTATCAGTCAATAAACGGTGAGATGAATTTATTAAGTCTAATTAATCCGTCATTAGCACATGTTTACTGTAGCATCACATTGTCAAATCATGGGGCAATTAGGCTTAAAAGATTCATAAATTAGTCACAATCTATATAATTAGTTATTTTTTAGCCTATATTTAACCCTTCATGTATGTGTTCAAACGTTCGATATGAAATAGTGTAAAATTTTAGGATATGATCTAAACATGCCCTTCTTAAAAAAAAAGAAAAGGAAAATTGGGCATGAGAAGTTCATGCCATTCTCCTTCTCCGATTGGATGATGCCGTCAACTGGTTGTTGGTGGATGGTGGTTATGACTTACGAGATATTTTCCTTGGATCATGATGTTGCATGGAACTGGTCTGATAAAAAAAAAGAGAAGCAGTTCACATTTTGTAGTATTGTGGGAAAGACGGTGATATATTTGTTTGATGGTAATGTTGACTAGTAATGGTAGTTTTGTTACGTGTGTCAATTTTCTCTACACTATTATGTCTTCCCTCTCGTTTCGTTTCGCCGATTGTTGAGGAGCATTACCGAATGTCCGAGTGTTTATTTCATTTCTACATTGCCAGATGTGTTTTAGTGTACTAAATAGTCGAAGTGGTACTGCAAATAAACCACAAGGACTGTTTTGATACATTTCTAATGGTTGTTGGTTTTTAACAGCCCACAAGAACTACTTTTACATGCTTGTTTGGCTTACTATCCTACCAAAATTTTGATATTGTCAAAAACTAGATAAATTTTGGTACGAACAATGTTTTGATAGGATAGTATTGTAAACAAGTGTTTTTAATTTATGTCAATTAGAAGCCAAATTTTGTATTAGGATGAAGAATGTTCTAGTATTGTGCTAAATTGAGCATGTGCTTTTGGCTTCAAACCAAACAATCATATTTATTTGCTCCGTTCCAAAATATAGTAACTAAACACAGATAGGATACATCTAGGTCATTGGTCATATCAAAGTTTGCAGCACTATATTGTGTCACATTATCTGGGTTAGAATATGTTACAATATAGATGATACTATTTAAACTACTAGTAAGACATAGACTGTTTAGATCTAAACTTTGGATTCAAACTTTCAATTTTTTCCATTATATCAACCTGTCATACACACACAACTTTTCAGTCGCATCGTACCAATTTCAACCCAAACTTCCAACTTTAGAAGTAGCTAAACACAACCATAGTTTAGCACCAATCCAAAACGGCCTTTGATGTTATACCTCGTGACAAGGAATATTTTCTTCAGAGAAGTACTAAGCCAATCGACTCGTTCTTCACTAAAAGATCTCTCGGCAAGTGGTCCGTTCTTTTAAAAATATCTCGCGCCTAATGGAATGTTAGGGCTGGTCACTGACCTTAAGAGACAGAAGATCATGACGAATAGCTCGCCAGATATTTTTCGTAGGCGCCCGGAATAAAAAAGATCAGTGCCACCGCGGCATTGACGAGGCTGTCCCAAGCCAACAGCTGACTTTATCCTTCAGCCGGCTGACCGGCTCGGCACCTCAACGAGAAAATACAGTAAATACAGATTTTCTTCAGACCAATGCTAATAATAAACCAGGACATATGATTACATATACATGAACATATGTATGCACGATGACATGGCAAGATTAAGCACAATGAATTATTTTTTTAGCTGGCGAAACATGCAGTTTATGAGCTGGTGTTGTTTTGACATTTTGTAGGCGATGGTGCCAACAGAAATACTACTATACCCACAGCAAAGAGGCCCCTCGGTTGGTAAAAATGGTTTTATTCTGGGCCATGCAAGGGGGGGCACCATCTTTGGCACATGAACAAGAGGAGAAAAATATCACTAGGGTCGTTGTGATGCCGCAAGTTCTTCCATCCTCTGGCGCATCTTGTATTGCAGCATGGCTGGAGCACAATCCAAAGGAGTTTCCCCTGCGCAACGAAATTCATGACGATTGTTAGCATTTGTTAACAACTCCAGGCGCTGGCAGAAATATCTACAGATGAGCTGAAATGAGCATTTGTCTCGAGGCTAGGATTTGGTATAACGTAATCCTGACCCAAAACGGTCTAGCGTTTAATAATCCAAAAAATCTGCTACAACAAGATAAACTTATCAAAAAGGCACTTGTTACATCAGCTAAACATAACAGGTAGCCCAGGTACATAGTACTGCTTCTATTCTACCCAAGCCTGCCTGACCTTGAGGAACATAAATACAGTAAAAGCATAAAAGGCCCCTGAGGTCATCGAAGCTAACGTGCAATTCAAGCAAATTGCAGAAAACAAGGGTGGGACTGAAAATGGGAGATAATGTATTTAAATGATCTTCTGTGCTTATATGAATGGGTTCAAGTAGTAAAAAGAAGCAACCTTGTCCATTTTTGCTCTGAATATTTGCTCCATTATCCATGAGAATAAGAGCAATCTCTGTCTGGTTAAATAGTGCAGCCTGCAATTGTCCAGAAAAGGATGTATGTTAGACAGTGATCATATGTATTACAACTAGATAATTTACAAATGAACTGGGATAAGTGTTCATGCCGGGATGAAGGTTTGTCAATTGTATGGAAATTTACACATAAGGAAGCAACTAATCGATAAAAAAAATAGATTGTTTTAAAGAAGTCTTTCTTGGATATTTCATTGATCAGAAGATAGGTTATTTTCAGTACCTATTGCATTCTGTTGTATGTTATCCTAATGCACAGTACAATGCATTCTTGTTGTATGTTATCCTGATGCATGGATGTGCTTGTCTTTACACAGCAAATTCTGTTACTCTTGTTATCTTGTATGAACAGATTTATGGAGGTATTTAAGAAAATGATACAACAATAAAAGTCAACCAAAAGGGACATAATAAAAGGGCACATACCAAATGTAGCAAAGCAAATCCTTGCTTATCGCAGTAATTAGAATCCACTCCCTGCCCAATGTTGGAGGTAAGAATCAAGATGACAAAATCAGACAAGAGAGGACAACATTACCTGGCTGAGAAGTTTCTTGACAGCTTTAATATCCCCACTCTTAATTGCTTCCCTCAGTCCCTACAAGGAGTAATAACTGGGTTAGACAGACTTAAACTTGCCAGGCCAGAAATACCACCTTGTACTGTATGCTGAAAAATAGAATAGAAAGGAGCTGTTGAGGTATTCTTTTAAACAAACTTACCTCCCCAGTAACATCATATTCAGAAGGACCCTTATCATTAGTATCATTGCTCATCAGGCCAAGATTTAAGAATGAGCTGCAATACAATAATAATAAGATTATACCCAAGAGATCTGAGGATCAGTTTGAACACCTATGCCTAATGCAGATATGTCAAAGTTTTGATTACAAAACAAGCGTGCAGAAAAGGTGGCAGTGAGATAATGACCAGAACATGCTTCTAGATCTTGCCAAATAAAGCTGAGCGTATTTTGGCACAGTGTACTACAAAGGATAATACTTAATAGAGATATATATCACAATAATAAGTCAAGCATTTCTCTTCAGAATACAAGAAAGTGAATTCTAACGAACCTTGAGTTGCTGCTTGAAGTGGCCGAAGCCTTCTTGACACTTGATTCAGCAGATTGTTGATTGGTAGAAGATTTTTTTGGCCTAGGATTCGACTGTGCACTTGAGGAAGTTGTGCTGATACTCTGCTGCATATGCTCGTTAGGCGGAGGCACACAAAACTTAGGTGTTGATAAAATAAAATGGACTGTCATCTACCTTTACAGGCACAGGTTCTGGTTTCGGAGCCTCGCATATACACAAAGGCATTCCACATTTGCACTCAATAACAGCAGGTGCACTGTGAAACGCTGAATTTTTCATAGGTGATGAAGCATCATCTTCCCCCAAGTTTAACCCTGAAAAGGAGTCAGCTGCACTAGATACACTCCCAGGTGAACCGGCATTGCCAACACCACCACGACTGCAACATTATACAGGACATAAGTAAATTATACAGGGTGCGCTCGGAGGTGATCAAGGAAAGCTGCTTATTCAGTTATACCTAACCCAAATACAAGTGAGTAGACAGTTAGATTCTAGCAGTAAAATAAATCATAGGCTGGCTACCTGGAGGATTTGTTGAAGCAATCATAGCAGACTCTGACGTCCGTGTATATCCCGTACTGTGGGAGAGCCTGCAACCAACCAATTGAAGTTGAAGCAAATGATTCAAAACCGCAAACCCAAACTCCCCAGGCACTTGCACTGCTAGTAGATCAAGCACAAATTTCCCACGGAATCACACCAAAACATCCTCAGTTTACTGAGTTCTCACCATATGGTACGACGAGTGCTCGTGGCAGAGCGTCCTCCCGCAGTTGCGGCAGTGATGCTGCAACAACAGCGTAAAATCCGTCAGCAAATCAGAGAACACGATACTCTCCCCCACTGCTACCCAAGTAGCGATCCACGATCCGACTCACGCCATAGGCGATCCACCCACGGAGCGAGGGAGAGGGATAAGGGAGAGGAAGATTCGTACGCGGCGGCGGAAGGTGGTGAAGGTGCAGCGGCAGACGTCGCAGTGGGCGGACTCCTGGAACGGCGGCGGCGTCTCCATGGCCATCGTCGTCGTCGGCGGCGGCGGCGGCGGCTCCCGCGAACCAACCTGACCCCGCCGGCGAGACCACGTGCGCGGATCGGATTCGGAGCGGCCGATCTCGCCGCGATTCCTCCCCGATCTGAGGCGGAATCGATGAGAGGAAGCAGCCGCGCCGCGGCGTCGGGGTAGACCGGGAGTCCGGGAGGAAGAGGAAGGGGATGAGAGGATCGCGGCGGGTGATTCTGCGCCGTCGATGGATTTGTGCACGGCTGAGATTGCGCCTCTCTCTTTTTTTTTTGTTACTGAAAAGATAAACAGAACTGCTCTTGACAAAGGGAAGAGTTTTTTGTTTTTTTTTTTTTGAGAATACAAAGGGAAGAGTTGATGGTGTGTAAATTCAGTTCTTCCTGAGGGTGTGTTTAGTTCACGAAAGAAAATTTTTGGATGTCATATCGGACGTTTGACCGAATGTCGGAAGGGTTTTCGGACACGAATGAAAAAACTAATTTCATAACTCGCCTGTAAACCGCGAGACGAATTTATTAAGCCTAATTAATCCTTCATTAGTACATGTGGGTTACTATAGTACTTATGGCTAATCATGGACTAATTAGACTTAAAAGATTCGTCTCACAATTTCCATACAAACTGTGCAATTAGTTTTATTTTTATCTATATTTAATGCTCTTTGCATATGTTCAAATATTCAATGTGACTTTTTAGAAAAAGAAATTGGGGAACTAAACAAGGCCTGAACTCAGGCAGGTCAGAAATTAATAACACAAGTACTCCCTCCATCCTTAAAAAAACAAATATAAAACTGAACATGATACATCCTAATACAATGAAACTGGACATATGTATGTTTGGAATGTGTTCCATCTAGTACTAGTTTAGTTTTTTATAGGACAAAGAGAGTACAAAACAAGGTGAAGAGGAGTTTGGGTCATCATTAAATCAAATTAACACAGGTTCAATGATGTTTCAGAAGATTGTTGCAGCTCTTTTACATTTACAGACGACTGAGTACAGAAAGGCTTATCCACTGTGACAGTTCATTCAGAGAACAGTCAAAAGGATTTGTCTTCCTCGTGTTGCCGAAATGGCAAAATCCATCTGAATTTCCCTGCTCGGCTTTCAAGTTCAGCTGCTCCAAATGTCAAATTAGTTTGTTGGGACATTCCTTGCTTTAAGCCTGATCCACATCACAATGCAATTATGACAGTTCATCCTTGACCGCTGTTGCACATCAGAACCAAAAAAAAAAAAAAAACTTCACTATAAATTGCTCACATTAGAGCAGGTACAATAGCAGGCTATAAACCAGCTACAAATATGTTTTAAGGAGATAAATGGGGAGAGAGAATAGTAGCAGGCAAAAGATTTGTAGCCAGCTGTAGCACGGACTCCAAGACACGGTGTGTGTATGACAGGTGGGACCAGGTATTAATAGTGTAATATGTAACTATTGTATAAATGACCTATTAGATTGGCTGTAGATGAATTAGAGCTAGTAGTTGGCTATACTATTGAACCTGCTCTAATGAAGAGAAGCCGAGCGAATGCCAATACGGAGAGAAAAGAATGTGATAACCATCTAACTCAGCATGGAAGTTTTTTTTTTTTTTTTGGGGGGGGGGTATATCACTCCCCTTTGGCAAAATGCAAAAGGTTCATGCGGCACTTGGCCACTTGCAATGTTAAGACTCAGCATTAGGAATACATCAACGAACCATCATCCAGTTCTGGGTCATTTGTTTGCGATAACACACACACAAAAAAAAAAAAAAGAAATCTTTTGACTACAGTCAACAAAGTGACATAAGATAAAACACAATGTAGAACCAAACAAGAGGAAATGCGGAAAGTATGACCAACCGAACATGTTCCCAAAAAGCTGTTACATGCAATTTTATGGAATTGAACGAATGTAGTCTTTATGATAGAAAAATGCAATAACTAGCAACAAGTAATGTCCTCAGAAACCTGAATCGATATCATGGAACAACCATTCCGGTTATGACCAGCTTAATCATCCGGCACTTGCATTCTGACAGTTTCATCCGAAATAGATGCATGCCTTTAGCATGATACCAAGGCTAAAAATGTAAAGAAAATGCAAAGTAATTACCGTTTGTTTTCTGTTCAACGGCTCAAAAGTGCTAAATTATGGTACAAAAAGAAGTGATTGGAATTGCTTGAGTGTTCTAAGTAAACTACCTGACTTGCACACTGGGCCTCACCATGAGACCAGCTCTTTTCCATGCTAAGGCTTGAGTAACTCCAAATGACAGAGACTTATCAGGCCATTGAAACATAGGAGTGAACTTGGTGCCTTGCTTATTCTTTAAGGGAAAAAAAAACGTTACCACAGGTGAAAGACCACTTTACCAATATAGAACGAACACAGGAGAAGAGCTAAAACAGATCAGTGCTGGTTATGCAGTAAAAAGAAAAGATAAAGGTACACTGATCATATAGAAGTTGTCATAGTAATAACTAATAACACAAATAACAGAAAACAGCCATGTTTGTGAAAGCAAGTGTGCACACTTCCTAATTCATGAAATGAACTCATAAACAATGAGAAACATCGGAGCGTGCAGAGTGTTCCAACCAAAAGGTTGTGATACTATCAATAAACATAACATATTTCTGATCAGAAGCCGATTAACAATGATGTGAAGTTTAAAAGTAGTCATTGCTTAAATCATACCGTTACTCCACACTGCATTAGAATTTTTTTTCTAAGAAAAAGCAGGGGCACGGTAGCTTTGCGGGAGCAGCTCACAATTTTTCAGATATCACAATTAACTAATTTATGAGAAAAAGATAAATAGGGAGCATGCTAACCTTGCAAGAGAAGCTGACTCTAGTTTCTCCTGGGTATTTCCCATGAGCTTGAAGCAACCCACCAAATAATGGAAGAAAACCACTTGCTGTAATCCTGTCGCCAGTAACATATGTTAGTTGTCCATTGGGGAACTGCAGGTCCATGAAGGACTGCAACAAATAACCATGTTACTCTGTTAGATAGTATCAATATTCCAGTTTCAAATACAAACAACAATGGTGGGAGGTTATATTAAACAGATCTAGCAGATTGCCAGGAAGATAATGCATGCTAAAGCATGAAGCAGAAGCTGACTAAACAGACTTCAAACACAAACTATCAACATAAAAAGAAGCACGGTCTTCAATTGCACAACAGAATGCAACAAAAGGAACTTAAAGGTCAGTAAATCTTGGGTACTTTTAGAGTTATTCATGTAGGTGGGTGATTACTAGTAAACTCATTCTAACCAGTGACGAGATATGAGATAATGCGAACACTATAATGCAGAATTCAACAAAAAATAGCCATACTTACACAAGCTACTGGATTGAGGCAAACCATTGACATCATCAACCATTTCCGATGTTTTGACCAAATAGCAGGGCAGAGAGAATGGACTCCATTCTGTAATAATATCATTCTTAGTGAGAAATTTACTAACTACAAGAAAATAATAAAAGAAAGAGAACACAGAAGGATAGAAAAAGCATTATAACGGCCCATAGGGAAGACCAGTATGTGTAAAGAAACAGTAAGATAAGAGTACCTTGCGATCATAACCATACCAAAGCAGATGTTGCTTCGATAGATGAACAGGCAACAGAACTCTCAATGTCGTGGTTCCTGGTATTGTATGCAGCCGTTCACCATTGCGCTACAGAACTTTTTGCTTGTGACAACATAATTAAATCCAACTTATATTGTACTATAATGTAATTATATTATATGATACTATAACTGCTTCTAAATATTCTATGAGAGATTTTCTAGTAAAATAAATTGTAGATACAAAATTCCCTTTCAGACAGAAGGAAGAATAAAAAAAAGATTATAATGAAGCTACCGATTTCCATTGGAAGATAAAAAGAAGAGAAGACTACCGTATAAACCTAGCATGATAAACATCATCATGTGTAAAAAGCTATTCCCTCCGTCCCATTTTAAGTGCATTTGTGTATTTCTGTGTCTAACGTTTGACGGTCCGTCTTATATAAAAGGAATTACAGGGAGAAGTTCCATAGCAGGCAAGCTGGAATAACTTCAAGTTATGATCCAAAGTTCCCAACAAATCAGACCTGTAGAAAATTTGAATCCTGAAAGGTCAAAACTTTAGGGATCTGTATACATGGAGAAGTTCCATAGCAGGCAAGCAGATCTAAAATACATGGAGAATAACTTCAAGTTATGGCCCAAAGTTCCAAACAAATCAGACCTGTAGAAAATTTGTGAATCCTGAAAGGTCAAAACTCTAGAGATCTGTATAACCGTTACCTCAGAAGATTATTGAAATGATGTGACAAAAAGAAAAATTCCATCTCAAGCTCACATAACAGTTGTGTGCACATGCTTTCTATGATGATACTCGCCCTATGGTATTATCTGAGAAGCCAACATTATGGCCGAGTTACTATTATTGATCATTATTTTCTAGTACAAAACTGGAGTATGATCTATTTTCCGAAGGTGGTATAATCATCTTCTGCCTTTGCTCAATGCATCAGAGACCTTTGCAGTATCCACGCCATATTTAACATTATGCACCCTTACTATATTAGCACCATTCAATATCCCAGCAGTAGCAACGACCATGGTAGCAGCATCTCTCTCAGTGGGATTGACACGATTGCATATTTCACCTAAAAATCTTTTCCTTGAGGGTCCAAGTAAAATTGGCACATGTGAAGCACCTAAACTCATTTTACCTATCTCTGTTCTAATAGATTCCAAACCCATGATAACTTCAAGGTTATGTTTGGAATTCTTGGAGAATCCAATACCAGGATCAAGAACTATCCTCCACAAAGGAATCCCAGACAACTCTGCTTGTCTCACCCTTTTATATAGCTCAGAAGCAACTTCTTTACAAACATCACCGTATAGTAGATTCTGTTCACTTTGCATAGTAGATGGATCTCCTCTCATATGCATAGTCACATATGGAACTCCAAGTTCAGCTACAACTTCAAGAATTCTTGGGTCAATCTGTCCACCAGATACATCATTAACAATGTGTACTCCTCTTTTCACAGCTTCAGCAGCGACTTCTGCATAGAATGTATCCACTGAGAGCAGCTTGCCTTCCATCTCAGGAATTCCTGTGATCGCATCTAGAACAGGAACCAACCTCTCAAGCTCTTCGTCTGCAGATAATCTTCTTGCAAGGGGCCTAGTGGATTGAGCACCAATATCAATGATGTCTGCACCTTCTGATATTAATAACTTGGTCTGAGCAATGGCAGCTTCCACTTCCTGAAACTTACCACCATCACTGAAGCTGTCTGGTGTCAAATTAAGCACCCCCATGACAAGAGTCCTCTCAGACCAATCCAACAGACGATTTCCGACTGGCAATACCCTTTTAATTCCTTCTGTTCCAATTATAGATTCACCTCCAAGTTTATCCCATGATTCAAAGAACCCACCAGTGCACTTTGCAAGAGAATGCCAACTTTTTTCCACGTTATCATCAGTGGATGAGCCTAGAAGGTCAACAAGAGGTGCTAAAACGAACGGCCTCTCATGGATGCGTTCATGTGGCACAGTTAGATTCTCAGTACTAATATGTGATTTGCCATATAGAAGAATGTCCAGATCGATCGGTCTGGGACCATACCTTATCCCGTCAGTGCGCCCTATATCCTTCTCAATTTCCTTTAGCTTCTTGAGCAATTCATGAGGTTCCAGCTTGGTTGTGCCCCTAACAGCAGAGTTCAGGAACCGCGGCTGATCAGTCACATAAGCCGGGGAAGTCTCATACAAGCAGGCATGCCTGGTGATATTTACACCCGAGTTCTTCATCATACGCAATGCCCTGTCAAACGTACTGATTCTATCCCCCACATTGCTGCCCAGTGCAATCACAATCTCCTGGTCCGCAGAACCACCCCCTAGGGAACACTGCGTAAACGAGCGCGCCCTGCACGGAACAACATGCCTCGATGCTTTCCGCGAGGGTTTCAGAGAACGCCCAAGAGCAGATACTGTTGAAACGCAAAGAAATGAATGAGTTAGCACTGTTCCTGCTCTGGACAACAAACATTACTAGGTGTTAGGGACAGTACTACCACCTGATAGCGCATCCGACGCAGCTAACCCTCCTCCGCAGTAGTTCTTGGCAACCGAGTACATCTTCCTGAATGTCTCCTTAGCACGCAGCATCGTCAAGCATATGTGAGGCGGAGAATTCTGAACCGAAATTGCAGCGCCCTACCCATGCGCAAGCATCAGGTGAGCTCAACTAGTGAACTAACTACCCCAAGGGCGGATCTAACATGGAGCATGGGGGTTCGTTGAGAGAAAAGCTGCTTTCAGTATTAAGTTTAAGGCAAGATTAGGAGAAAAAATTTGCAGGAAACCTAAGAGTTAACGCGGTGGTTAGAGAGAGAGAGATGAGGAAGAGGATGTGCGTAGCGGATGGATGCTCACCAGGATGCGGCGGAAGCAGCGGAACGAACGCGATGTGCGGCCCCTGCTCGCGCGCGCGCTTGCGGGATGGATGGGGATCGGCGCGGGCGGCGGCGGCGGCCGGCGAAAGAACTCACGAGGAGCCGACGCCGAGTGGACGGGAAATAGGATTTGGTAATCCGCGAAGGCGAAGCTGCGGTCGCATCGCATCGCAGCGAATACTTCCTCCGCTCGCGCACGGCCCTAAGCCCACACACCCCCACTTTACACGTTCGCATTCGGTTATTTTACTCTTTTTTTAAGAATTACACCGGTACAACGCATACATTCACAACGCACGCACACTCACCCCTGTGAACGTACGCACGCAAACCCTACCCCTATAAGCATCTTCAAAGACTAAAAAATATTAGGTCCCTCGACTATGGGTCGAATTTGGTTCGTGTATCTCAACAGTAAAACCCAGTATACAACGTCCCTCAATTATTAATACTGGTTAATTTAGACCTCCAAGCAATTTCCACGGTGGTTTTGTCCTATGAGGCTGAGTGGGGCCCACATGTCAGTCACGTGAAGAGGAAAAAAGAGATAGAGAGGGGTGCTCGGCCAGGACCTCGTTGCCCGCCTCGCCCTCCTGCACACATTGAGCAGTGAGGACACCTTTGCAGCCTCACCCTCCCACCCGTGGTAGTGAAGAGAGCATTCCTAAATTGACAGCATCCCAGGCCCTACGACTCCATATTTGTGCCATCTCCTCTTCTCCATCGGATATTGCACCATCTGTGGTATATTCATCAATCGCTAGCCTTAGCATAAGGCCCTTCCAAACCCTACTGCCTGTCTATGTTGCCAGCACTGGCTTCCCATACTCCGAATCATCCACATGTGGGCCTCTATCGCTCGTGGCCAACCCACCTCCTCTATGTTTGTTGCGCCTCCTCCATCGTTGTCCTTTTGAACCTACCATCCTCGCTTGCACCCTAGCCACAGCTATGCATACCCTAAGATGACAACATCGATTGATAGTACACCATCCTAAGACATTAAGAAAGATGACACCGAGCGTCATCATAGTTGCACCTAAAAAAAGTGCACGGGCTAGATTATCGTGTCAAAGCACACCTCCCATATCACCCGGATGGACATATTCATCTAGAACTATGACCTCAACATCGGTACATTCCACGCCGTGTCCTATTATTATGTTGTTGACTTTTAAACATACCATTTGATTTTTTATTTTTATTAAAAAATATATAAGCATCAGTTATTTCATTGTGACTTATTTTACTAAAGGTATTTTAAGTACAACCTTTTTTTATATTTACACTATATTTCTAGGTAAGGTGAATAGTCAAACGTCGTACCGAAAAGTCAATAGCTTTATAGAGTACATTTAAAAACCAAGGGAGTAACTTTTTAGCATCAAATTTGCGCCATTAGATTTGTAAAATTGAATGTACTTAACCAATATCCTACACTTATCACAAACCAACAAGCATTCGAGAACGGAGTGAGTATTATTTTTTTCTCGAGTGAAAAGATTTGTTGTGCTCGTCGACAATGAGGTGTGACGAGCACATGAACAATCAGCATCCGTTTCTTGGTTTGGCACTGGTGCACATACAGGTGACAGGCCACAGGGCGCTGCTAAGCTCACGCCCAAATCATCAAACTTCAAACTTTTTTTTTTAAACTACTCACCTAGCAAAGAAACATCTTTGAACAGCACATCACTCTCGCGCCTATATACAGCATTTTATCTTCTTCCCCTTTACCATGGTTCTTGGTCCCGGGATTCGCCGTCGCGCCGCCATGAGTGACCGTCGGCGCCGCACATCCTCGTCATGTTGGCTCTCTGCACAAGGCGGACCAGCAACTGGACGACCTCCGACATCGGCGGCCTGAACTCCGGTTCGGACTGTCGACAAAAGGTTGAGGAGCAAGCAGGATCAGAAGTGTGCAAAAGATGGAAAAAAAAGAAAACTGGAGCATTTGGGGAGCAAAGGAGAAGCTGATGTGGAGGTGATCGGCTGATCACTGATCATGGTGGTCTGACCTGAACGCAGAGCGCGATCGCGTCAGCGAAGCGGGAGAGCGATTTCGAAGGGTACAGCCCCTGGAGTGCAGGGTCGACCATCTGGTCCAAAGCGTCGATGTCGTGCAGCTGGGGAGTTGCCCACCCGACCAGTGACTGCTCCGACCGTGGCCGGGATCTGCAAATGTTCAGACAGCAAGGGGCAATACAGTTCAGTTCAGTTCAGTTCAGAGGATTGTGCAACAGTGCAAGGTTTGAGAACTTGAGAAAAATTGAGGAGAAATGGTGATGGTGCAGTGTCTGTGTGTTCACCTGTCAAAAGGTTTCCGGCCAGTCAGGAGCTCTAGCATGACAACACCGAAGCTGTACACGTCACTCTTCACGGAGTACTGGCCAGACATGGTCACCTCAGGGGCCCTGTATCCTGAGTCCTCATCTGACACCTGAAATTGTCGTTATGTAAGTATGTTTGGATAGAAATTTTGGGACCCCAATTTTTTTATAAGCATTTTCAGTAACAAAATTTGCAAAATACAGTCATAACATACTAGGTAACCATGGACTAGTACAGAGTATGTCGATCCTGAAATTTTATCATGTTATTCAATAATCATTTTTTGATCTTCTCAATATACCACATGAAGTATTATGCTAAAGTGAGCTTTAGATACTTCAATGAACAAAAAAAAGTGTAAAGCATTTCTGCGGGCAATCAATCATGATTTAAATTCATGTAAAACAGCGGTAAGACAGTTGGAGGATATATGCCTAATATGTTACCTGAGATTCCCGGTTAGGAATAAGGTCAGCAAACCCAGAATCTGAAAGATGGGGATTTAGCTCGTTATCCAGAAAAATATTGGATGACTTGAAATTCTTGTGTATCACGGAAGGTGAACAAGTTTCATGTAGATATCTGAAAGTTTCACATGATTGACATGAATTTTCAGCTCTAAAACAGGAGGGAAGAATTGCACGTTTCTTTCACAGTTTCACTTACTCTAATGCCCTCGCAGATCCAAGGGCAATCTTCACACGGCTATTCCAAGACAACGGTTGGCTTTGATCATCCACTAGATGAAGCAAGTCTTTAAGAGAACCATTTCGGTAGAACTCATATGCCAGTAAGCACTGCCCATGCTCTGAACAGTAGCCAACTAACTCAGAAAGGCTTGGATGATTTAACCTTGAAATATTTGCAACTAACTCAATGAACAAATCTGAAGGATGGCCCGGGAATGCAGAGAAATTGATTTTCTTCACAGCCAGGACCTGAAAGTAACAAGAAATGGTGATGACTGAAATATGCAGTAGCCAGGATGATGATTTGAAAGTACCAAAGGTGTGAATTGTTTCTTGAATTTTATATAATCTTAACAAACAGAAAAAATAAGTCCTTTTTTTTTTGGAAAGGTTGGTACTTGTAAAGAAAATGAGAGTGCCACATCTTATATTACATATAATCAATGCTCCTGTGATGACAGTAAATACTTGTCATGATTCCATATACTAAGAATATTGAGTACTTGTATATGATAGAATGATTTTTTTTTCTCTATTTATTGAAGGAAAGAAAGACTGGCAGTAGTAATGCAAGCATAAATTGTGTGTAGACATAGATAATCATGTAAACGGAACACTTTCGTGCTACCACAGCTAAAAATTTCCAAGCAGGTATAGATCAACTGATGCATATCATCTTAGCCTATTGTCTAGGACAATATAGATTTAGCATGTCAAGTTTAGCACATCCACTTAATTGCAGATTCTATGGTAGTAAAAAAACAATACAGTGGTTTTTTGGTGCAAGGAAAAGATTCAAAAGTAAGGATAAGAGGTAATTGTGGAAGCACCTTGTGGTCATTGAATTTCGCCTTGTAAACACGACCGAATAACCCCTCTCCAATTAAATTGTCAGCACAGAAGCTGCCTGTTGCCACCTGTAGGTCTGCCACAGTGTATGCAGGTGTTCTGATGGAACTAAAACTTATTTTCCTTGTGAAAGACTTGCTGGTGACATCATTTTCATCAATGGACTTGTGCAAGTCAATTCTTGTTGGAGGTTTTAAATTCATTGAAACAGTTTTCTGTAATTCTTCCTTGCCAATTGTTGAGATGATCTTGATTGACTTCATCTCTGAAAAGAGTAGTTTTGATATGGGAATACAGCATATTACTTACCTCTATGCAAAAGAGAAATGATAAGCATAGAAAAAATAAATGCAGTGCTGCACAACTGTTTGCAAATCATTCCAAAGCTGACAATTAGCATGAAACTTACGTTTAAGACTGTCTTTAAATCCTGAAACAATAGGGCTGAGAGGTTCCTTCTGTTCAGGATCTCCTCCTCGTGGCAATGACCAATATTTCTTCTTGATCACAAAGAAGGCAACTATTGCACCCACAACTACCAAACATACTACAATTCCGGCTATGGCACCACCACTTAGTTTAGAGTGTTTGCGACCATCATCAGACGGATTATTGTTAACAGTAGTAGTTGGAGGAGCAGGTTGTCGAGATTGTGGAGATTTGTATGGAGGAGATTTATAAGGTGGAGATTGATATGGTGGAGGTGGTGGTGAAGGACCACTTCCAAACGAGTTTCCATTTGTCCTACAAAAGGAGGAGAATATTGTTGGTATCCATCCAATAAGTCTATAATTGCAAGATCGTGAGTATATTGGTAACAGAAGTACTTACTGGAGATTCTTTATTTTCTTTAGCTTATCAGGTATCCATCCGGTGAATTGGTTATTTGCAACATTTCTGAAGTAGAATCAAATGTGTTATTAGAATTCGACTATAAATCAGAATAGGTTGGTTAGCAGATGCATGCCAACTCACAAGTCAGTAAGCGGAAGATCAGCAAGGACATCTATTGTGCCATTGAATCCGTTGTTCTGCAGATTACTGACAGGAGCAAATATTGCCTTTATAAACAAATTATGAAATTAATTTTGTTCTTGTCAACGGAAAAACTGAAAAATCTATTAACACATCCGTACTCACAGTTTTCTCAAATTTGTCAAGGAATTGAAGCTTTGTGGAATATTACCCGAAAGTGTATTGTATGAAAGGTCCCTGAGAGAAATGGACAGCTGGTTTAGTTTTTCCACTAGCTTGCCAGATTACTGAACATAAGACAACAAACCATATGGTAACGAGGCAAGTATGGGCAGTCAAAAATACAGGAAAACCACTCACAATGTTGTTAGGTTAGTTAGCTGGTTGAACATATCATTGGTGGTTGCAAGATGATTATGTCCAAGATTTCTGCATACAACAGAAAAGTATAGTTACAAAATTTTGTCAGAGTCTACCCAAAAAAAAAACTGAGGAAATGAGCACAATAACTCCAACTTACAAAATTCTAAGTGCAATCATTTGCGATATAGAGTATGGTATGCTTCCGGTGAAGTTGTTTTCTGCAAGGTTTCTGCACATAAAATTCTTTGTGAGAACTTAATATAATTTTACATGAAAACAGCAGGAACTTGAGTTGCGTGGACATGAAACTCACAATCTCTCAAGATTTGGAGGAAGGTTATAAGGAATGTCACTGCCTCCAAGATTATTCTTGCTCGTATCACTGCAGAAAGCTAAAAATAGATCAAAACCACTCTCAAAATGTAGACTGTGTAACTATCAAGGAATTGAGACTATATTGTCCAAGAGATCACACTAACAGTTCAACTAGTGAAGTCAGTAGATTCATGTTGTAGCCCAAAGTCCCGTTGATCCCCATGCCGGATAATTTTCTGCAGAGGATTCAGGAACAATGTCAGATAATAAGTTTAAGTAGTTTGTCACCCACAAAGGACCCCTTTTAGAGGCTCAAACTCACATTGCTGTCACCCTGGAACCCGAGCAAGTGATCCCAAGCCAGGACTGTCCACAGGGGTCTCCATTTTGTGACACCCAATTCGTCAGCTGGGATGGAGAATTCATGCTTGTGTACAAGACATTGAGAGCATTCACTGTATAGATGAAAAACAAAAAGGATTTGGATTATCAGCAATGTTGGATGAAACAAAAATTGCAGGTAATTGACCATAACAATAGTTTGTTCCTACTTTGGTGTTAGAAAACTTTCCCCACGAAATCTCCAGTTCCAAGAGGAATTTGGATAGCTAAAATGCTATGGTTGGAGCTCAAGATTATGTATAAAAAATGCAATGCATCTGCTGCTCTGCATCCCACTTGATTGGGGGAGGAGCTGACCGGAGATCTTGACGGAGGTGGGGTTCGACGATGCCGGTGGTGCGGGATTCGGCGGCGGTGCCCATGTGGTGGGTGGGTGGAGGCGTGGAGCTACTTGCTGACTAGGTGGAAAGGCGAGCGCAAGGTGCGTGGATGGCGACGGCGAGGTTAGGCTCGGCCGACGGCGGCGCGGCCGCGGCGACGCCGGAGATGGAAGTGAAGGAAATTTGCAAATAGGTCCCTATGGATAAAATATTATGCAGATAAGCCCCTGTTTCTGATCGCTACAGAGCCTACGCGTGCTGGTTTATTTTCACTGTAGTCCCTATTTAAACACAGTTTTCTCATACTAGCCCTATTTAATACTCCCTCCGTTTCAAAATGTTTGACACCGTTGACTCTTTAGCACATGTTTGACCGTTTGTCTTATTCAAAAAATTTTGTAAAATATGTAAAACTATATGTGTACATGAAAGTATATTTAACAATGAATCAAATAATATGAGAAGAATAAATAGTTACTTAATTTTTTTAATAAGACGAATGGTCAAACACGTACTAAAAAGTCAACGGTGTTAAACATTTTGAAACGGAGCGAGTAGCTTTTAGGCCTGGTTTAGTTTCCAATTTTTTCTTCAAACTTCCAACTTTTCCATCACATCAAAACTTTTCTACATACATAAACTTCCAACATTTCCATCACATCGTTCCAATTTCAATCAAACTTCCATTTTTGACGTGAACTAAACACACCCTTAGCTTCCAACCTCTGCCCGAATTTATTTGTCTTATGTTCAGTTCATCAAATCAAAGCCTTTGATGGTTGATACTTCCTCTGATTGATTTTATTTGTGTGTGACAGTTTGTCATAGGGATGGACGCTGGAACTTTTGAACTTTACTAATGGTAGTAAGTCTTTCGATCAAATTTCAAGGGGGGCTGTATCTTGTATGATCTTCAGCTTCTTGTCAAATTTTCATTTGCACACAGTTCTTTGTGTTATACTTATTCTAAAATTGAATTTGTTCAAATCTCTGGCATTTTATCACCCCCCCCCCCCCCAAACAGCAAGAAATCTGAAAAAAAAATGTGTACACCTAGAGCAGCACTGCAGTGAACTGACCAAAAACAAACTGAAGAATCAAGAACCATTTCCCAGCCTCTTGCCAATCAAACAATCAAAACAAACCAAACCACCAAGAACATTGCACTGTTTCTTGATAAATTTTCTCAAGCAAAAAAACACACCAATCAAGATATAACATACATACATTAGCTACAACTTACAACAAGTAAGGATCACTTACCATCATCTGAGTCTGTGTTGGCACTAACCCCAGAGAGAGTAGCTGCCAAGAACAGCATCACAGCTCCAGTGGCCACGGCCATGGCTGCACCTCCTCCTCCTCTCATCCTCCTCTTCATTCCTACCTTGGCCGCTGCAACATTCGCCTGGAGACTCCCCCAAGAAAAGAACTAAACTTTGTTCCCAAACTATGAACAAAAATCTCTCCCTTTCCCCCCAACTTTGTATAGTAGTAGGCTAGTAGATTCTCTCTCTCTGATGAAATGTTTGTTTTTTCTTTGATGGATTGTGTTTGTCAGCAAGAAAGAATCAGAGAGATTCAGGGGGGAGGAAGGAGTAGAGGGTATTAAAGAAGTGGAGATCAACCTGGCTGCTCACCTGTTCACCCACCCATAAACCCTTGTCCCTTGAAGAGACTAACAAAGTCACAACATTGTTTTTCTGGAGTTGTTAGAGCAAATCTTCTAGTAGATAGCTAGGATGGCTCATGTTTTCTAACAAGAAAAATGGGGAAATTCTGAATGACAAAAGGATGATTACTGAAGAACAGACAAGAAACTGTTTTTTTTTCCCTTAAGAACTGTCAGTTCTGAAGCTGGGGGTGGTTATACATTCAATTTAATGCAAATGTGGGCAGCTTAGGTTAATACTGGTTTGTGCAAGTGCTGAGAAATGCGTGAGCAATGACACGTTGAAGAAGAGTTGAGTACTTAGTGGAAGAAATTGGGTCACTTTTTCTGTTTTTGTTTTTGTGCTGGTTGTGCAGTCGTGGCTCCCATACCGAATCGTTCCCGTCCATGCCGTCGCTTTTGATGATTATTGGGCGATGATCCAACATTCCAGTGCCGTGCGTGCGTGTGCAGCATGCTCTTCAGCAGCTCAGCACTTGAGCTCCTCTTTTGACCAGCATCAGTATGGGTACAGCAGTGTGGTTTCATTCTGGCGACAATGATGGTGGGACAGTTCTCAGTTCAGTACACCCCTCCTAACCACTTGGGCCCCTGTTTAGTTTACACCAAACTTTCCCCCAAACTCCCAACTTTCCATCACATCACATCACATACAAAACTTTTCTACTCACATAAACTCTCAACTTCTTTTCCAAACTACCAACTTTCCCCAAACTTCTCTCCAATTTCAGGAACTAAACACAACCTTGATTGGCCGAAAATGCTTGGATTCTCGTATATTGAAGGTCACCTTAAAGTTGGGGATTGCCACAGAAATTTTCAAAGGATTCAATTTTTTAAAGGAGTTTTTCAAATGCAACTAAGGGTGTATAAGTGAGTCGGTCCGTAAACCTACTTATAATAGGTTACACAGTTATTTGTGCTATAAGTGGGTTCACGGGTCGACCCACTTGTACCCTTAGATGCAACCGTTGATTCATAGGAGATGATGGAAAATTTATTCATATGGTTGCATTCCTATGACTCAATTTTACATGAAAATAAACTTTCATTTTGCTTTGTTTGTTCCATGTGATGCTATCAAAGAGCTCATCTTCATCTTTCCTGTCTTTTACATTTATGTAGGGTTAGACAAATGTTGCTGCTTCAATTCATGTGTTTTTTTAGGCCTCCCCCCGCGTCGCTCTCGCGTCGGGCGGCTCGGGGGCGAAAAACCCTAGCCGCCTGCGCCTTCTCTCCCTCCCTCCCCCCACCTCGCCGCCGCTGGAGCCCGCCGGCGGCGAAGCCGGCAGCGGGCAGGGAAGGCGGCGGCGAGGCCTTCTTCTCTTCGTAGCGTCTCCCTCCTCGGCGCGAAGGACGAAGACGACGAAGCTCCCTACCGGCGTGGTCCATGGCGGCTACGGCGGCGAGGTGGAGAGGAGGCGGCGGATCCGGAGCCCCTATGGCCGGATCCGGCCCTTCCTCGCCTGGATCTGCGTGGCGGCGGCGCGACGGCATGTGGTCGTGGTGGCGGCTGACGGCAAGGCGGCGAGGCGGCGGCCGGCTACGGCGAGGCCGGCCCGGCACGCGTGCATAGGCGGTGGACGGCTGCGGCTCGGCGTGGAGGCGGCTCGTCAGCGGCGGGCGCAGGCGGCGGATGGCTGCGGCCCGTCGGGGCCGGCCCGGTCGCGCGGCGGGCGCGCGGAGGCGGCGGGCAGCACAGCCTGCCCGGAGCGGCAGCGGCGCCCCCGCTCACTCGCTCGGCCTGGCTGCCCGGCGCCAGCCCATGGCGTGGTGGGTCGTCCAGGCCTCGGTGGCGGCTCGGCGTGGTGGCCGGGCAGCCGGGATGCCGTCGCGGTGGCCAGGTGAGGCGCGGTGGCCGGACTTCGGGGGCGCTGGCGGGTGGCGCCGGTCCGGAGCAGCAGCACCACCGGTGGCCAAATGGCAGTGCAAAGGGAGCTGGCGGCGGTGGGTCGTCTTCCTCGTTGCCGGTCGGCACCCTCGGCCTTCATGGAACTCCTCCCCTTCTTTGCGGGGAGTTTCTAGGTTGGATTGAGGCGGCAGCTCGTCAGTGGGGGAAGCTCAGGGTGCCGAAGTAATGCCACCTAGTTCCGGGTTCTCCTTCGGCCAAATCTGGCGAGGCGGCCGGCGGGTGGTGGAACGGAGGAGTCCTGGGCCAGCTCTCAGGGGTGGTGGTTCGTTGAAGTCGGCCGACGGAGGGGCGTCGGTGCGGTGTGGTGGATGCCACGTGCTGCCATTTGTCTGTGTGGTGGTTCTGAGTTGGTGGACGGCGATCTGCAGTCAAGGTTGTAGGGTCCCAGGCGAAAGCCTAGTCTGGTGGTTCACCGGGCCGGCAGCGGCTACGTCTTCGGGCGTCGTAATCTCCTTGGAGCATTGTCGAGGGTTACCCTCTCCCTTTCTTGGCGAGCTTCTCTAGGTGAAAACCACATCTTTTTAGATGGACGATGGCGGCATCCTAGATGTCGTGACCACCATGTTGGCATCGTTTTCGGAGCCTCGTCTATGTGGTGTTGCCGTAGGCCTAGCGGCGTTCGGCCACGCTTAGCGGGGGTCGTTTGGTGCTAGATTTCACCCTCAGCGGTTTGTGCTTGGGTGGTAGCGCGTGGTGTGTGGCAATGCACCTTGGTGCATTTTGATGTTTTTTCTCTTGTAACTTTTATTCCTTCTTAATATACTCGGTTGGCCTCCTTCGGCCTTCCCAGCGAAAAAATTCATGTGTTTTTCCTAGAAGAATCTAAAAAGATTTCACGAACTTTTGAATAAAACCTATTAAAATACGACACTAGTCCCGCCCCTGAAATGAAGCCATGATGTTCTGCTGGTGTGATGAACAAGTAGGGGAAGGCCATTAGTCCATTACTGCAAGAGGCACCATCACTAGCAGAGACAGGCAAATCTGATCGACGATCACTTGAAAAATTGGAAAATAAAGGAATGGAAGAGAGAACTATCTGATCTTTGGCTTTCTGCACACTGAAAGATATTGTTCTCGGCAATGAGTCGGCATGATGGCGCCGTGCGCAATGATGAGCATATACAACTGGATGAATATCCTTTATTTCACTTTTCTTGTTTTCTTTTACCCCATTTTCTCCTTCTATATAGTAATTATTTAAGTATATATGTTTGGAGCAATAATTGGCATTTGACCTCAGCTTTGTGCTTCCTAACAGGTGGCCAGACTCACCCAATTAGCCGTTTACATCGCATTCATCCATAAAATTTTTTGTCACTCTCATGAGCTGTTCTCGACTTCAGAATTCAGATGAGTTACTTTCATCTTCTTCCATTTGTATATTGCCAATGCCGTGGCATAGGTGCAATTAGTCCCTGTTTGATTCAGCTTAGTATTATTATAATCTGGATTATAAGAAGTAAGTTGAAACAAATATATAGCTTATTATGATATATTATTATAATCTATAAGTCAGATTACTATAATTTGGTAAGCCATTCTAAAGGTGCTTTTTTAGATTATTGGGTGGCTAACAGCTAACAAACAACTAATAATCCAGAGAAACAAACAACTAGCAGCTTATTCTATATCGGTTTATTATAATCTAGCTTATAGTAATCTAGTTCTATAATCTAGATTACAATTTTAAGCTGAAACAAATATAGCCTTAGTACAGGTAGCCTTGCACAATGGATTGAGAGATCCTTTGACATAAGATCATATGAACATGGTCGCTGGCATGTGGACCTCACCGTTAATAGGACCACATGTCAGTGACCAGTCAGGGACAAAAAGTTACGTCAGAGGATCAAATTCCTTGCACAATGGACAAGCTAGATTCAATAATCAAATTCTAGCTCCACCCTGCAAGAAGAAAAAAAGGGTTGTGCTTTTTTCTCTCCTGATATTGCTGCAAATGTGATGCATGCTTAGCTTCCATTTTCGTCAGCAAGAGCATGTTCTTTAATCGGATGGTTGGAATCTGCTGCTGACCTCGCCTGCACGATTTGGTTGCAAATGTTAATTCAGAGATATTCAGAACACTCCATTGAAAAAAAATATGACAATAATATAGACTCACCATCGAAGTAGTAGTTGCAGTACATAGCCTACGTTGGGTGAAGATGACAATCCGTGCACTCTGCTTCTGCTGCTGATGATGAATGATGATGACCAATAGAATGTCAGCTTTTAAAAAAATTGTTTGCACCTAACCATTCATTCTTATAGTATTTAGCAAAGCTAAGATAGGATAAGAAGGCATACTTAATTGTGCCCATGAACAGCTAGTGTTTGGAGAATTTCAGACGTTTGTAGGGTGTCAATTCAGTTAGTTGTGGGTAGATAATTAGATGTGATGAGGGTCAATAACGAAGTTAGACTACCTACTGAACAATCCTGACGAACATGAACAGTGACTGTTTGGAGAATTTCAGGCGTTTGAAGGATGTGAAATTCAGTTAGTTGTGGGTAGCTAACTACTCCTAGATTAGATGTGATGGTGCCAATAACGAAGTTAGATTACCTACTGGACCCTGGTGTCTGGTGACAACATGAACAAGGAAAGAAAGGGAAAGAAGTCTGATCCTATGAACTCTGATGATCTGATCCTAGTTTCAAAAAAAAAAAAAACTGATCATGGCATTCATTATCAATAACAGAAGCAGGCAAGAACAGTTAATTTGGTTAGCCAACCCCAGACCAGGGGGGTCAAAAGGTCAAAGGACCAAACATGCCAAGGTCCACTGCTTTCAAGCTCCAAGTTTAAAGCTTTCACTGCTGCATCTGCTTGCATGTATGTCAGGTTCAGAGATTCAGGTCACCTCCTTTTCGGTACTGTTTTCTACTGTACTCCCTCCATCCAAAAAAAATAAACCCTGGATTTCCGTGTCCAATATTTGACCGTCCGTCTTATTTGAAAAAATTATGAAAAAAAAAATTAAAAGACAAGTCACGCATAAAGTATTAATCATATTTTATCATCTAACAACAATGAAAATACTAATTATAAAAAAATTTCATATAAGACGGACAGTTAAACGTTAGACACGGAAATCTAAGGTTTGTCTTTTTTTTTTTTTTTGGACGGAGGGAGTATGCTCTGTTGGAATCTACTACTACTAATCAACGCTGCAATTATGCTCCCCCAACATGGCAAGCCGTCCAATTCTTCCTTCAGTAAGAATTCAATGATTGACATTACAATAGTCTTACACAAATCTCTAAAATTCTGAAGTTTGCCACCAACGTCAAAGGTCATGTACTGCTGAAGTTTGCCACAAATCTCTGAACTCCATTTCTCCCTTTGCTTGCTTA